TTATAAAAGTAGGTCATACATGCTAAGAAGCTCAAGTATACCAAGAAAGTTTGCTTTTGTAGGGTCACTGATACATTGACTGGAGCCAAACAAAACCAGTCCCCAGATCAAAAAGAAAAAGAATGAGAGTCAATATGTGCTCAAGGAGTTTTTTCTAGTTATCAGTTTCTGTGTTCATTTCACTCAGGAGTAAGTTTTCAACTGAACTGTCAGCTAGAGCTGCTCTACTAGCTGATTTCCATGTAACATAGAAATTTACCTTTATGCAATACTGAAGTTTCATATGCAGGTTTTCAGTTTTTCAACTTCCTCCAACCTCTACTGATGCTCCAACTGGATGGATTAGATAGTACTGATGCATTTGAAATATTACTGTTAAAAATGAAACAAGGTACATAATATACAGCCTGATTTTCCATGCTCTGCAGAGCCAATCTCTTGCGTAGATCTCTCCATTTGGAAGAGTTTTGGTCAGCAGCTGGGAAAAGCACGATTTCCAGCATCTTTTGGTATATTACTTGGAATGTGAAAACAACTAGCTTTGAAAAATGACTGTATTTGAGCAACACTATTCTTATCAAGAAGTCCAATATCAGGTTCTGATGCCACTGTTGTTACACTGTGTCCTGTGCTAGTCACAAGTTCTTGCTCTTGCTGCGCAGCATCTCCGAGGGCCTAATTTTCCACCTGTCCCTAAATAGAGCATAGCACCTATCGCTGCTGTTGGCATTTTGAGGCAGTGGCATTCAAATTCAATTGTGGGTTCAAAGTTTTCATCGTCAGAACTGGGAAGTGTCATTGTCAGTATGGTCACCATCTAATGGCTGAGGCGTCTTTTCTATGAGAAATGATGTTATTGGCTTTAAACACTTAACTGAAGCTTCACTCAGTTGCTCTCGCCATCTCTTGCTTGCACCCCTTTCAAATCTTCACTTCATTTTTATAAAGGGGTTCTTTTAAAATACAGTAACACACGATAAATTAATTTGCTAAAGGCTATGGACTACACAAAATTTAATTGTATATACTTCACAATGGCTAGGTCTAGACTGGCATAATTTTCCGCAAATGCTTTTAATGGAAAAGTTTTCCGTTAAAAGCATTTGCGGAAAAGAGCGTCTAGATTGGCACTGATGCTTTTCCGCAAAAGCACTTTTTGTGGAAAAGCGTCCGTGCCAATCTAGACACGGTTTTGCGCAAGAAAGCCCCAATCGCCATTTTCGTGATCGGGGCCTTTTTGCGCAAAACAATACCATGTTGTCTACACTGGCCCTCTTGCACAAAAGCATTTGCGCAAGAGGGCTTTTGCCCAAATGGGAGCAGCATAGCATTTCCGCAAGAAGCACTGATTTCAGACAGTAGGAAGTCAGTGTTCTTGCGGAAATTCAAGCAGCCAGTGTAGACAGCTGGCAAGTTTTTCTGCAAAAGCAGCCGCTTTTGCGGACAAACTTGCCAGTCTAGATGCAGCCAATGAGTATTATATCTTAGGAATACAAAAATGTCTTTTTCTAGGAGTAAAATAGATCCCTCCCCTTTCCTTGATTGCCCTGTTGAAATGAAAGAGGTGTTAATAGAGAAGGCCTGAAAGGTGAGCACCTCCAGCAGCAGTTGCAAGGGTGGAGAGGGGCTGGGAGCCAGATCCAAGGACCATAAGACTTGTGAAGTGAGCTCATTGAAAAGATGACTGGACATACAGATGCCTTGGGAGTCAAGCAGCAAGCGCCTGAAGGACCCTCTTTGAAGCAGCATTAAAAAAGGCATCACAAGTATCTCACTGCATATGTAGGTGCTGACTAATTGGCTGCATATGGGGGAGAAATAGGAGGCATCTTGCAGGGGGACCCCAGGTTTTCCTCTTGTCAACATGGGAGCATCGATCCGGAGGGGGCGGGGCCGGGAGCCGCTGTCATGCCGCACGTCACCACCCCTTTCCCCCTTCCCCTCCCGCGGTGGCACTTGGCTGACTTCTGCACTGCTCAGCCGGGCCGCCGCATGGAAGCAAGCAGAGCAAGCAGCCGTTTGGGCCCCGCACTCCGCATGTAGCACGGGCTGCCCAGAGGGAACAGCCAGCATTTTGGCATTACAGACTCACAGACACTGGGCTACTATTTATGTGATAATGGTTTAGGGATGTTATTTACAGTCTTTATAGTCTTATTTCAAAGTCTTGAAATTTTTCCTGCTAACATGTTCCTGTTATTAAATTCATCTAATATGTGGTGCATTATTATGATCATGAACATGGGGTACTTGCCAGATTAGATATGAAGTTTATTAAACAACTAGAATTAAAAGTTTATTATCACAAAAAAGCCTTTAAAGGTGAATCTAAAACTGGACAAAGAGGTAGCTTACAGCTGAGCATGATATGATTATTGTATATGAAGACACATAAGGAAAAACAGGAATACGAAAATCTCCTATGCAGAGATAAACATCTAATGTAAAGTTTCCACCCACCGTCAGACCAAGCAAAATCACTTTACAGTAAAACAATGAATTACTTCAGAGGAGTAGCCGAGTTAGTCAGTAACAGGAAAAACTTAAAAAACAACCAATAGTCTAGTACCACCTTAAAGACTAACAAAACATGTAGATGAGCTTCAGGGGGTAGCCGAGTTAGTCAGTAACAGGAAAAACTTAAAAAACAACCAATAGTCTAGTACCACCTTAAAGACTAACAAAACATGTAGATGAGCTTCAGGGGGTAGCCGAGTTAGTCAGTAACAGGAAAAACTTAAAAAACAACCAATAGTCTAGTACCACCTTAAAGACTAACAAAACATGTAGATGAGCTTCAGGGGGTAGCCGAGTTAGTCAGTAACAGGAAAAACTTAAAAAACAACCAATAGTCTAGTACCACCTTAAAGACTAACAAAACATGTAGATGAGCTTCAGGGGGTAGCCGAGTTAGTCAGTAACAGGAAAAACTTAAAAAACAACCAATAGTCTAGTACCACCTTAAAGACTAACAAAACATGTAGATGAGCTTCAGGGGGTAGCCGAGTTAGTCTGTGACAGAAAAAAACAACAAATGGGCTGGTAGCCCTTTATAGACTAACAAAACGTGTAGCTGGTATCATGAGCTTTCGTGGGCACAGCCCACTTCCTCAGATGACTGGAGTATTAAAAGTCCAGATCCAAGAATAAATAAGGGAAGGGCACTGGGCTGGATGGACCGTTGGTCTGACCCAGTATGGCCGTTCTTATATTCTTATGTAGGCATGCTAAGGGCGGAGTGTTACTGCCCCTGAGCACCTGCCCTCTGGGGCTGGGGAGGCTCAGGCTGTGTGCTGCCCTCCCTTCCTTCGAGGCCAGGTAGGCTAGGAACATGCACCCTCCTCCTTCTCCATGGTGTGGTGCAGAGGGAGGGAGGTCAGAAGGGTGCATGTCTCCCCCAGCCTAATCTTCACCCCCTGCCCATGTATAAGGTCCGAGTGCAGACCGGGCCTTGGGACAGTGCTGTAGGAAGTGCTGGCCTCTCATACCTCTGCTGGACCTTCAAGCTAACTCAGTTGTCAGTGGAAGCTGCTTAGCCACATTCTCCGACTGGGAGTTCTTTGGGCGGGGGGGCGTCTCCCTGTCAGCTTCAAGACCATGACCTGCCGAGGTCGCAGTAGGGGAGCAAGGGGCAGCAGGAGGGGACTGTGTGCAGGGCAGCCAGCAGCGCGGCTGACGGGGCAGACCAGCGGCTGCAGGGTGTCTTCTCCCCCGAGGGGAACTCACACTGCTGCATTGCTGAACCCTGAGTCCTCACTGACCAAGGATAACCACTGGGAGGAGCAGTTGTGGTGAGGGAGCACAGCAAAGGAGCTTTGGGGGTGTAGAACTCAGGGACATGAAGCGGAAGTCACTGTCTCACGCACTCTGGGCTGGGTGTCTTGCACGCAGCTTTGTGTTACTGAATCATGCACGGGGCAGTTTAATGAATTCATGTCGGGTGACTTCCCACCTTTCATTAAAAGTTTCTTTCCTGCACTGAGACTCTGTTCTTGTGGGGGGTGAGAAGGGTATTGCCGGTGCACAGGGGTTGTGTGTACTTGTCCCAGGTTGCATGTATAACTGTGAGAAACAGCAAATTCTTCAGAGGAAACCCAACATCATGGGAAGTGAGTCAGTTCCCATCATCCCCTGACTCTCCCCCTCTTCCTTCCTCCCCTCCCTCTCTTCCTGTCCCTCTGATTAAGGCCCATATCATGGTGACAGGAAGAACTGGAACCTGCCCATGCAGAAGTGAAGACTGATGATTTTGCAACTCTGCATCGGACCTGATAAGCCCTAGATCGGATAAATGCAAGATGTGCAGCAGGTCAGCTAATCTTGCCCCGTGGGGAGTTCACCTCCAGTAATGCCAACCTTGGCCTTCAAAAATCAGGAGTCAGGATTTTGTAAAACATTCTTGAGATCTTAAAAAATAATATATGCTGAGTCCGTTTTATTTGCCTTCTATTTTTTTTAAGCTTGCTTGTTGAACTCAGTTCCTATTTTCAAGCTTTTTCTCCACAGTCATAAGGGTTAAAAACTTCCTTTATTAAAAAACGAAAGTGGAGAGTTTCCCATAAAACACATGAATGAGACTGGGAGGTGGCGCTGTAAGCTAAACATATCACAAAACTGGTGATAAAGCCATAAGAGCTGGGAACTCTGCTGTCATTTGGGTCAGTGGGTAAAATAGCCTAAAACGATACTGGTCATAGCAACAATTTGCATATGTGGGATGTGTCAGAAAGGCCCAAGGAAACCAACGCTATGTCCACATTGGTAGACTGGAGCTGGCAATGCACAGAAGGCAAGAAATCCTGAGCGTTCTCATAGCAACCGATCACACAGTGATGCTCGGTACCAGAGTAGCACCCTGGAAATCCCCATACTCACCGCTATGATAGGATGCTGAGATGCTCTGCACAAAATATGCATTTTAAAAGTCCTGATCAGCTGAGCATTAATAGCCTGTTGGATTATGGGCCCGCTCATTGTATGTGAGGTTATGACACGCCTACGGGTTACTGAAAGATGCTGCGACGTTGGGAACACCCATAGCCAGCCTTCCAGGTGTAACAGTGGCATAGCCAGACAGCAGTAATGGCTCGTCAACACCCACCAGGAAAAGCATTCGCTATCCGAGACAATCTTCCCAGCAAGCTGGAAGAAAATATAAAAGCGAGACAGCAACATCCTCACTAAGGCTATAGGTTTGAGGTGCAGGTCACAAATTCTGTGTCTTTCCGGGACCTCTGGGACCACTCAGCAGGGATTCTTGGACTATTATGCCCCTCTCCCCTGTAGCAGCAGCAGGAGTTTGGGTGTGGGAGGGGGCTCAGGCTGAGGCAGGGGATCGAAGTACAGCAGGGGGTGAGGGATCTAAGCATCTCAGGGGAGACTCTCTGGAAACAGCAACATGTCCCTCATGTGGGTTTGGAATGGGTCCCATATAAAGGGAGATTAAAAAGACTTGGGCTCTTCAGCTTAGAAAAGAGGAGACTAAGGGGGGATATGATAGAGGTCTATAAAATAATGACTGGTGTGGAAAAAGTGAATAAGGAAAAGTTTTTGGCTTATTCCCACAGTATAAGAACTAGGGGTCACCAAATGAAATTAATAGGAGGCAGGTTTAAAACAAACCAAAGGAAGTTTTTCTTCACTCAGCATAGTCAACCTGTGGAACTCCTTGCCAGATGATGTTGTGAAGACCAGGACTTTAACAAGGTTCAAAAAAGAGCTAGATAAATTCATGAAAGTTAGGTCCATCAATGGCTATTAGCCAGGATGGGTAGGAATGGTGGCTCTATCCTTTGTTTGTCTGGAAATGGATGACAGGAGAGGGATCACGTGATGATTACCTATTGTGTTCCCTCCCTCTGGGGCATCTGGTATTGGCCACTGTTGGAGGAGAGGATACTGGACTAGATGGACTTTTGGTCTGACCCAGTATGACCATTCTTATGTAACCAGGCAGCTCTGCATGCTTCCTTCCCCTACAGGCACCATCCTCACAGCTCCCATTGGCTGCAATTCCCAGCCAATAGGAGCTGCAGAACAGGCACTCAGAGTGGGGGCAGAAAAAGACTTTGAACTGGGTCCAGTCTTTGTACTGAAGAACAAATACCTGTTTGTCAGGTGGGGCACTGCAAGATTCAAATCCGCTGAGTATGTCGCCGGCACATTTCATTTCTATTTCTTAAGCAACCAACTTGGGTCTCGGCGCTTGCGACTGATAATCACCCAAAATCTCTCTCTCTCTCTCTCTCTCTCTCTGTAGCCCATTGACGTGTTTTATACTTGGCCTGAAACAGTGAGTTTGGGTTGAAATGTTTGGGAACTTTCTGCTCGGTTTCCAAAACCTAGAGTGTTCATGCCCTACTAAGGGAGTGGTGAACTTACATTGGCCAGGCTTCTGACCAGGACAGGATGGTCCAGGCCTGAGGTGCAAAACTGGGAAGCTGAGGGGAATTGCCTGGAATTTCTCTATTATTGGAGGCTGGAAGAGGCATTGGTGAGACTCAGACGGGTGTGTCCCTACTGGTGGATCAGTGCCAGGCCTGTCAGAGGTGTACAGCTTGACCTCAGCATCACTGATGCCCCATGGTGGGTTTCAGAGGGCTCAGAAGGTCCCCCTCTCATATCTCACCAGCATTATGGTGGGCTGCGCATGGAATCAGCGCCTTCACATACATGCAATGGGGCAGAATTTGTATGAGAATCTGCACTTTAAATCTCCTTTTGTACCTTACCACTCTTCCCCTAATCCTGTGGAAAGAGCGGGTGGGGGGTTGCCCCGGGACAGCCCCAGAGTCTGTAGAAAGATTTCTGTAACATTTTTCTAATGGGAATATGGGGGATCAGAGAAACAATCACCATGGCTACCGAGAATAAGTCAGAGTTTTTAGGGGAAACCCTATCAGTGTAGAGTGATTAGGTGCTGCCGGGAAGCTGAGGCGTTAAATTATATGGGATGATTCATGGATTTTGCAACTCCCTAATGTGCCTGTGGCTGAGACTGTGCATAACTCACGATTTTCAGGAAAAATTTTCCTCCCATCCTCAGCTTCTGTGGTGAGAGTTTTCTTCTCACAGAGAAGGGCTGGAAATTGACTCTTTTGTGTAATACGATAGCTGACAAGCTGTGACAGCACATTGGGGTTCCCCCCGATCCTGCACCCCCGTAGCAGCAAGAACAGTCTCCGCCAGCCAGTAGAGTAGAGAGAGTTTATTGCTTCTCCAGGATACAGCGCAGCATAGACATGATGTAGTTACAGGAGTCAGGGCCAGGATGCCTCAGACCCGTTGGGTTAGGGGGTCCATCACCCCCCTCAACCCTCAGCACTCAGCACTCAGCAACCCAGCCAGAAACTGCCTTGCTCCCAGACCTACCCCCCAGCCAAGTGTTCTTCTCTGCCTCCCTTCCTTTGTCTCTCCCCCCTGGAAAGAGTAGTGTTATCTGCTCATACTGGGCCAATACACATGAGGGTGAGTCAGTGGGAATCACACATCACAGTTCAGGGGAACCCCAGGTTACTGAGCAGACAGGACCCCACAACATCACACAAGCCTTCACACTGAAAGGGAAGGTTTGTGCCTGAACCCCAGTGCTGGACACTAGTGTTAACAGTGGTACTCATGCAAAAAACACTGCCAACCAAAACTGGCCAGGATATTTGCACAATGTCTCAGCTGGAAGCCTGTGCCTTTTTCCTCTCTAATATGCTGGGATATTGAGGAAGAGGTACAGGTGTTACCTCACATCAAAACTACCACCTCCTACAGCACAGTGCTATAAAACAGCATGCTGATGTGTCTCCACTCCATCGCTAACACCACTCCTTGCGCTAACTAGGTGTTACCTGGAGGCAAATTGCTCACACGTAAGCTCAGCCAACTTAACTTAGGCTGTGTCTACACTGGGAAGGTTGGGCGGCAAAAGTGCTGTCAACATGCAAATCCAGCAAAAGTGAAAACCAGTCAACCCGTTTTTTCTGCCTCCCATTGTCAACATGTCATGGCCACATTGCTAGCTCCCCTGCCGACAGATAGAGCAAAACAATAGGGGGAAGCACCCCACAGTGCAGTGTTGTGGGAAGGCAGAGCTGATCCCTGTGCTTCTTGGGATTCCCTCGTAGCTCTGTGAGCTCTCCGTGCTGAAAAATATCAAAGCAGCACAGCAGCCTGTCCCTCCCCCTGCAGCAGCAGAACAGGAGCATTCCAATTATTTGTTTTTCATTTGTTCCCCAAATGGGGCAGCTCACTCAGCTGTCAGATACTGCCTGGAACTTTGAAAGGGGAGGGGAGGATTGCATGTCTGCAGGGTAGCAGAGATCACAAAACACTCAGCACAGCCATCAAGGCAGGCATTGTGAGATACTCGCAGAAGCCAGTTCTTTCGACAAGACAAACAGCAGAATTCACACCAGCTCTTTGTCAACAATAATGGGACAAAAGTCTCTTGCAGGGTGGAAGTTTCTTGTTGCCAAAACTGGGTGTTTTTCCTGACAAAAGTTGCTCTCGCTGTTTTGTCAACAAAAGGTAGTTTTTGGCAACAAAAAATGCCAGTGTAGACAAGGCCTTATAAACTGTAACCAGATGGCAACACAAGGTCATCTGGCTACTAAGATAGTCAGAAAGGGTGTGTCTACACAACAAAGTTATTTTGGAATAACGGCTGTTATTCCAAAATAACTATGCGAGCATCTACACAGCAATTCCATTATTTTGAAATAATTTCAAAATAACTCCAAAATAGCTATTTTTGAAATAAGGCCTGTGTAGATGCTCCACTGCTGCTATTTCGAAATAGCCCCTCACCAGGGCCATTCTAAGTTATTCCTCCTGGGGCTCTAAATTGAGATAGCAGGTCTACATTAGGGAAGCCTGTCTCAAATTAATTTTGAGGCTTCCCTGCAGTGTAGACATGCTATTTGAAAATAAGATATTTCAGAATAACTATTCCGGAATAGCATATTCTGAAATAACAGTGCAGTGTAGATGTAGCTTAAGAGATCCTGGGATTTCATAGCAAGGAGGTTAAATAAAGGCGCACATGCTCACCATATTCTGTATACAAGTTTTAATGAAAAAAAAATACAAGCCAGTATAGTAATATACATTCAAAATATTAGGAAGTCTTAATTTCTGTATCATGGTGTATTTGCTACAGAATATACTTTTTAAACATTCAACTCAATAAAAAATAGGTGTCTATTGTTATGAGAATACATCAGCAGAAAGAGGCTCCTAGAAGGTTAAGCATTTCTGTACACTTCTGCATTTTGTCTTTGCATCGGCACCTTTTCCTGGCATTTCTGGAGCCAGTTGCCTGACCCGTGGCAAAAGGAGCTCCAGAAGCGATGCCCAGAACCAAGTGTGGGACCCATGTGTGTTAAGAAGTGAGAGGAAGTGACCAGCATTCAACTATAAGCACAAAAGCTTTGGTCTGGTGGCCCAGGACACAGGCGATGGTTTGCTGCTGCCATCCGGTGTCACAAATTCCCCACATTTACTCTAGTTGTGACTCACACATAGGATTCCAACATCAGCCCAGCTGCAATTCCAAAATCCTGCTCCCAGCATTAGGTGGCTCCCAAAATCACGTTGCACTTGAACTCCTAATATTTGAAAGGGGGTCTTCTTCAACTTACCTGCAAAGCTCTGAGAACAGTAGCCTGTCTTTCTTTTGCAGGCCTTTATGGGATGCTTTATATCGAACATGGTGCTTTACTGGGCCTGCCCCCTGGACTTATCTGTCAGTGGTGACCCTAGGTCCTTCAGGGGAAATACCAAACTTTTAACTTGGGCCTCAGCAGGGAAGTTTTAAAATGTAAAGCCCTGAGGTTCAGAATTCCATGGGCAGAAATAGTCTGTCCAATAAGGAGCAGAGAATGAGTGGGCATGGACAGGGACTTCAGGCCCAACTGTGGTACATGCAGGTGCAAAGCATCCAAACATCCACAGGCAACCCCTGAAATCCTGGGCCTTCTCATGTAAATACTTCATAAAAATCATGCTGTGGATCGAGTGCTGTGGCTCGCTAAACAGCCACCATGGAAGTGGGAGTCTTCTATCTAGTCGTGGGCCAGAGGCAGCGCAGGTACCAGCAGCAGATACCAGTCCACTGGCCCCTGGACTAAAACCTACCAACCCATTTCCCATGGGGGATTTGTTCATAGTCAGACAGCAATGAGCTCTGCACCTCCAGCCTGGACTGGATTAGAACTGGGAACTGAGGGAGTGGGGAAGGCGAATTGTAGCATCTCAGTCTGGACTCATTTTGCTACTGATCTTTAACATTTTGCTTCAATAGCTCATTGCTCCCTTTGTCCACCTGGGTTCCGACTCCTACCTATGTGGACAGGAGGACCGGCCAAAGGGGAAGAGCGAACCCCCCTTTTGCCCCATGCCATCTGGTCATCCAAGGGAAATGTGAATCCTACTTCTCCATTACTGATAAACCAGCAGCCGCCAGTGAAGTGGCAGCACTAGCTAAGCCAGAAAAATAGTGGCCATGTGGCAGACAAACCTCCTGTGAACATCTCTCCTCAATAGAACAGGGACCTTATTAAGTCTCTGCCTGTGGAAGGTCAGACACTGCGGTGTGAGCCACCTCTGTGCACCAAAGCAAAGCGATCAAAGCAACCAAAACACGCTACTAAAGCCCGTGACTTTCCAGCACAGAGAAGGGACTAGTCCCTGCTCCCCACGACGGGCACAGTCATTATCAGGGAATGTTGTAAGCAAGCCATGAGAATGAATATCGTGTCTAGTTCTGGACACTGCATTTCAGGAAAGAGGTGGACAAACTGGAGAAAGTCCAGAGAAGAGCAACACAAATGTTAACATGTGTAGAACACCTGACCTATGAGGGAGGATCAAAAAATGTTTCGTCTGGAGACGACTGAGAGGGGACGTGATCAGAGTTTTCAAGTGCATAAAAGGTTTGTACACGGAGGAGGGAGAAAATTTGTTCTTTAATCTCTAAGGATAGGACAAGGAGCAATAGGCTTAAATTGCAGCAAGGATGGTTTAGCCCGGACGTTAGGGGAATAAATTCCTGTCAGGGTAGTTAAGCACTGGAATAAATTGTCTAAGAAGATGGTTGAGATTTTTAAGAACGGGTTAGACAGACACCTGTCAGGGATGGTCCTTATTCCTGCCATGTGTGCAGGGGGCTGGACTAGATGACCTCTCGAGAGCCCTTCCAGTCCTACAATTCCCTGATTCTCCATTGGCTCAGAGGTTTCCAAGAGCTGCTCAGGGAGATGTTTGCATTATAGTTCTTGGTGAGGGGGTGTAGACAAAGTGCTTCACTGCTGGAGGGAACCATGCATGGCACCCCACAGTTGTCACAGCGGAGACTCACTGTGCAGGCACAAGGGACAGGACATCTTCAGCACTGGAAACACGAGAGAGGCGGGAGAGGAAAGGCTGGTCCTGCAGAGTCTCAGAGCAATGGACAACTAAGGGCAGATGTTTTCCATGCAGAGGAACAGGGGCGAAACCCCTTCCAGCATTTCAGCATGTGGGGGCTACGGTTTCAGCGAAGCTTTTTCTTTGCTGGGGAGGAATTTGTATAAATCACCTTTGGGGAACAGCTGCTTCCCCCTTCAACCCCCTTCTGCAGAGGTTCCAGCTGGGCTCCTAATTGGGCTTGTGCTGGAGGGTTTCGTAGGTCTCCTGGCTGCGAGTGCTGAGCCCCTGTGAGGAAGAAGAGGAGACAAAAGCGGTGTTGTGCATGAGGGTTTGGGTTCCGAATGGGACTCCCGAAACAATGCCAATGAATCGAGCCTGGGACTAGAGGATAGAGCTGGTAGCTGAGGCTCCAACGCCAGCTCCAGGACTGGGGCGGGATGAGTTTTCCTTCCAGGTCAGACAAGAGCTGGAAAAGCCTGGCCGGGTCCCATGTAGTCCAGGAGTGTTCCCTGCTTTGTGGACCCAGTGCTCATCCTCATTCGCCAGCCCACCAACAAAGCAGGCTCCACTCTAGGTAGAACATCAGTCGTTGTCGTCGTCACGCCCCTGCTGGCCTGGCAAGACGTTAGTGCCCGTCTGAACCGGGTGCATGGAGCAGGGGCTAGTTGGTGGCCCTGCCCAGAAAAACCTCCCTTTCCTTATTCAAAAGCCACCGAGAAACGGGCTGCTGGGTATGAGCAAAGCAGCAGAGTTGGAGCAGGTGTTTGGCATTGCAGGACCCTTCCCAAAGTAACCCAACACAGAATTTTCATGCTAGGGAGAGGGACCAGGTTGGCATCTCCAAGACTGGTGCTCACTGGTCACCCAGAAAACAGGTGTCTCTCCCTCTGGCAGCGCGCCTGCCTTGAAGGGAACCCCTCTGGGCATGATCGGGCAGCTCAGTCCTTGGTCTTTGTGCTGAGACTGCCAGCAAGGGGCCAGTTAGTGCCAACGGTGGTTTGGTGATGTGGACATGGATTGAAACCAGTCCTGCCAGGGCTGTTACCACCGTTGTCAGATGGAAATAACTTTCTGGCAGACACCAGTGTGGTCATTGAATCCCATCTATTAATGAATTTGGAATATGGCTGTGCCAGGCAACTCCCAAGTGCATCTTCTTGACACCTTGGGGGCTGATGAAAGGCCCCAATCCCAATGCAAATTATTCCACGGGGGCAGCAAGCCGGGTGAGGAAGTTTGGGTACTTACTGTGTAGATCCCTTCTCCTTTCTGCTGCACAAAGAGAAAGAGAAAGAAAGGTGAGTCACAAGGAACAAGAAGCAAAACAACCCAAACAGGCTCTTCCTCCGCCTGCCCCCATGGTGTGGTGACACAGACTTGTGGAGGGGAAGAGGGGGTGGAACAGGGCCT